TATATGGGATGTATATATATCTATATATGGGATGTATATATATCTATATATGGGATGTATATATGGGATGTATATATATCTATATATGGGATGTACGTATCGTATCTTGACGATCACCAGGTTTGTCAAATCACAGCTTCCTGTCAGAGGCACTAGGAATCAGATTCAGTGAATATCTCCCGTCAGTCTGCTAGCGATAGCTCATAAACAATCTGCTGTATGTAAATGGAGAGATGGGAACCTAAATGTGTCCGCCGTGTCCTGTGCATATACGTGCCACAGACGGTAATATAAGCCAATGTGTGTCGGTCAGTCACAAGGTGGCGCTGCCCTAAAACACCCCCTGCTTTACTATCTATTAACTGTAAACGAGACCTTAATTTGTTAAACTAACATAATCCTTCATTCAAAAAGCCTTGAAACCAGCCAGTGCAGCCATAAACGTAGCGGGGAAACGTCTGCTGAGGGAACAAATCAAGGAGGAATCGTCTCCTTTATTCATAGACTTCAGCATGACTGGATTTCTTTGCAACCAAAGGAGTCGCCCCCTGCTGGCCTTTTCAGACATTTCCACAGGTTTTATTCGTGTGTCTGTTTCATAGTCAGTATGTAAATTAGTGCCTCTATCTGTAATTTAGCAGAACAAGGGAGCTACCACTCAGAATTCATGCACAAAACAACACAAGAACTTAGCTCACAGTCAGGAAACCCAGACAGCACCCAGAGAGTCACACCAGGCAACAGAACCGCCGTGAGGCTAGTTCTGAGGGTTCAAGAACCCCTTCAGATGTTTCTGTTTTCTTGTTCAGCGACTGAGCTTCACCCTGAGTGAACACACACAGACCAAAACAAACGGATGCTCGTTGCTTCATCCACTGTTTCAGGACCCCTGCAGGGTGGACGCTGAGCACGACGCCTACCGCCATCTGCCACGAGCTGCAGCCTAGAGACACATCGACCAACACGTCCCATCACTCAGCGGTGAGGAGGACGTGACAGGTGGAGAGAAGAGGAGGAGGAGGAGGAGGAGGAGGAGGA